CAGTGGAACTGGTGAAACCAGGCTGGCTGGTTCTACTTTGCAGGGACCCAGCTTGGCTGGCAGGGAAGGATAACAGGTCTAACAGGCAGTACAAACAAAGCCGCTCCCTGCCTGCTTCCACAGTAACCCAGGACTCTAAGCCTGTTGTTCTGTTATCATTGTCCTATATTCTTTAGGCTTGACAGGGACATCTGGGTTTTCAGTGAGAAAGATAAGAACAATGACTTCCAACATAATCTAGAATTTGGTGTTAGTACCAGGTGCCTAAGGATTCTTTAGTGAGAGCAGCTCCTGAGGGTCAGTGAAGACTGGACATTACTAGCTAAGGCTCCTAGGTGCCCCTCATTGCTGAGAAGGCACAACAGGAAAAGGTGATACTTCCTCCTATAGTCAGGAGAGCTGTGTGGGGTTGGCCTGGGGGTGGAGCATGGACAGGAAGCACTGATATGGGAATGTGAGGCTGCCTTTTAGGCAGCTGGCTTATAATCCCCTCCTCTCTTCTCTTAGCAGGTAAACCAGGATGTGAGCCGGCAGCTGCTACAAGATGGGTATCACCTGGATGAGATTCCAGATGATGAGGACTTGGACCTCATTCCCCCTAAGCCTATGGCCTCCTCCACATGCTCTTGCTGCTGGTGCTGTCTTGGGGATTCTTCCTGTACCCTCCAGTAGCCATAATTCTCCAAGGTGGACCCTGCTCACCACGAGGCCTACAGAACTCTGTTGGCCCTTCATAGCTCAGAGTGCAGTGAGAACTGCTGTCAGTTCACAATCAGTGGAGGCACTGACTCTCTGGGAAGGTCCATAACCTGCAGGAGAGCCCTCACCTGGTGCTTCTCAGGCCAGAGCCCCACCTCCAATCTGGGTGATGAGGGGATGGATAGAATTCTGCAGTTTTCCTCTGTTGTTGGAGCAGTTTAGAGAAACTACTTTAATAAGGGCAGAAACAGGATTTTTGACTAACAGGTGGCTAAGAAAACCAATTGCAGAGATCTTTATTGGTATTTGTCATGGTGCTGTATGGAAGAGGAAAAGAGAGCTTTTGAGTTCAGGCTGTGCTGTAGATGTGTGGAGGCAGGAGACACCACTTTACAGCCTGTAGCCAGGAATTTCAAATTTTTAACTGAGACCAGTACAAAGAATTCTGTGTTTTCCTCTTCTTCCCAACTCTAAGGTGGATTAAGGAAGCACTGATGTGGGAATGTGAGTCTGCCTTTTGGGCAGCAATTATTTCTGTTCCATATCCTGGCTTATAATCCTCTCCTCTATTCTCTTGTCTTACCAAGACAGCAAAGTAAATCCCTTTTGTCCTCTTCATATTACATCTGTCCAGCTGTGGCAGTAAATATAACAGGTTGCTTAATGACACATCAGGATCATGGCTTTCAGAATTCCTGAACCTGGGGGACACTGTACCAGTTCAATGTCTGTGTAAGTTTAGTAACTCAGTCAGCCCTTCCCTAGAGAAAAACTGGTCCATCATGTACATATTCATTCATTTATATTTCCTTGGTCTGAGCTAGCTTCTCCACCCAGTCTTTGAGCTGGAAGGTTGGCATGAAAGTACTGGCACTGGCTCTAGAAGCCTGCAGTTTTCATGATTACCAGCAGAGGGAGCTGCAAAGGCAGAGTGCCTTCCTATTTGTTGCTTTTTAAAGTTGTGGGAAGTGGTAGAGTGAGTGTTCTGCTGGTGCTGCTTTGTGGTCTTTGGCCTAGACTGCAGCTCTCAGAATTGGGAGGAGAGACCAAAGCTAGAAACCAGGTCTCTGCCTGAGATCAGCCCACCATTACACAGAGCCTCCCCTGTAGTACAAGCCACTGTGGAGCCAGATTCCTCTGCCTCAGCCTCACAGTGGATGCTCAGGATTCGACTTTATGGACTGGGGGTGTAGGAGCATTTACATAGCTTTTGTGAATCCCTGGATTCAACCCCTAGCTCTGCCAAAAATAAAGGATTGGGCTTTAAGGCAAACCACAGTGTGAACCTAGCCTCTCTTGGCCCCCGCCTGAACATAGCAGAAACAGGCATAATTCCCCCTGTTGCCCCCACTGGATAATTTCTCGTTATACCTAGCCTCTTATTGGAATTTAGTTTTTCACTGCTCCTCATCCATTCTTTTTTTTTTTCCACCTCACCCAGGACCATGGTGAGGTGGGAGTGGACAGGGTTCTCAGCTCAAGGGGCATAGGATTAGGGTGTGGGTCCCATGCAAAAGTGTCCAAGTTCTTGCTTTACATAATGTCCTGTGACCACTACAGGACATGGTATGGTATCCCTACCACAAGAGGTGACTGGGAGACTGAGAAGTTAGATATAAAATATACCTTAATCATCATTTGTTGGACAACTATCCTCAAGGTCATCCTAATAGAGCTTGATTGTTTTTCTCAAACTGGAAGGTTGACAGGAGCTTACAGTATTCAGAGGCTGTGGTTAATTTACTCTGCTAACTAGCAGCATTCTAGAAGGGAGATAGATCGGAGACCAGAGGTGTATCACCTTGGGGTCTGGGGACAGAGGAGGCAGATGGTTTTTCTGTTCTGGAATGAGACTCTGCAACTTTACCAAGGTGCCCAACATTCAGAGCACGGAACATTAGCATCTCCATTCTGAACCTCTTACCCCACCAGTTAGTTTCTAGGCCTTCAGGTTTCTATGGAGGGGAAGAGCAGATGTGGACAATATAGAGAAAGACTTTGTGATAGTGGTGGGGACTTAGTGAGGGCACAAGGTAGCTGTGGAAGCCAGGTATGGATCCATATTTCTGTGGGAGGCTTGGTTAGGACAGATTTACCTGGGCTTTTGGCAGCTGCTGGGAGGTGGCAGGACCCCAAATCACACCCTCTGCGTAAGTTGTTGCTGTAATCAACACTGGGGCACTTGGCTGCAATTCTCCCTGGAAGGGATATTCCGCAGCTGGACAACTCTGTGTAGGAATTACGTGTGGAGAAAGCTGCAGGGATATGGAGCAGGAGACAACTCAAGGGCCACAGACCAAAATACCACCAGTAAAGGCTCCAAGTTGCTCAGAGCCAAATAGCCTTAATTCAGAGTGCTGGATGTTATTATGCAGTTGACAGTCCCCTATGGAGAGGGGTGCATCTAGGCTTCCCTCACAGACAGGAATGGTTCCATCTGGTATTTACACAGTGCTCTACAGACCTCTTGGCTTGTACTTATACACCCTTGTACGTTTAATAAGAATAAATGCAGTCATGCTAGTTGAGCTGTGTCTGTTGTGGCAACAGGATTTTAAAGAAAGGCCTGGAATGCTAAAAGGAAGAAATAGCTTAATAGCCCAGGAAGCACCCTTCCCCTTTTCTGCTGTTCCCCATGGGCATCATTTTCAGGCCTGTTTCACTGGAGATCATGAGTGGAATGGGCCCTTGCAGGTCACTATTTAGAATGGGTTCCCTTTAGCAGACCCTTTCTTTCCTGCTTATCTTTAATTATCAGCTGAAGAAACTTTAGAGGAAAAAAAATTTTTTTTTTTTTTTTGATGATACTATGGACTGAACCCAGGGCTACTCTGCCATTGACCTAATCTTCAACCCTTTTTTTCTTTTGAGACAAGATCTCACTAAGTTGCCCAAACTGGCCTCAAACTTTTTTTTTAGTTGTAGTTGGACACAATACCTTTATTTATTTATTTTTATGTGGTGCTGAGTATCGAACTCAGGGCCTTACATGCGCTAGCGAGCGCTCTACTGCTGAGTCATAACCCCAGTCCCTGGGCTCAAAGTTTTGATCTTCCAATCTTCCTCCTGCCTCAGCTTCATGAGCTACTGGGATCACAGGCAGATACCACCATATCCTGTCCCAAAATATTTTTGAAGGTAGTTTTCTGAAATGCCATTTTAATAGGGGGTGTAGTATAGAAGCCCAGAAACTTTCTTCTCTATGAGTCTAAGCCTTTGCCCCACAGGAAGGAGCAGCAGTGGTCTGAGTCTTTGCATAGTCTGGAGCAAAAGGATTTAAGGCTGCAGGTTAGAAACCTCAGCAGTGACACCAACAGGCAAGCAGCCTCTTGCAGAGGTGTGTTTCACCCCTGGAGATGAGCACAAGGAGAGCAGATGCCCTCCTTAGTACTTCCTGCCAGCTTAAGAGAGGTAGCTGAGTTTCTCACAATGGAAACTGGATCATTCTGTCACTGAATCCCTGTAATCTATAATGACAATATGTTTAGATAATAAGTTGACAATTTTTTCTCGTAGTTTCAGCTTGGGCTAATGGTATGGTATAGCTCCATGGTAGAACATACAGAAGGTCCTGGGTTTGCTCCTTAGCACCACCAGTTAAAAAAAAAAAAGGGGGTTGGGGATGTAGCTCTGTGGTAGAATGCTTGCCTAGCCTGCATGAAGTCCTGGGTTCAATCCTCAGTGACAGAGCCAGTGCTGCAAAAAATGAATAAATTCAGCTTTGCAGACCACATAGTCTGGTGCAACTACATGACTTCATCATTGCAGCCTGAAAGCAGCCAAAATGTATGTAAATTAGTAGGTTTGACCAGAACTGGTCTACCAGCCCTAGTTTGCAGACTCTTGATTAAGGTCAATTGAAAAATAGAAGTGTTGCACTGGTTGAGGTGGCACACATCTGTAATCCCAGTGGCTTGGGAGGCTGAGGCAGGAGGACTGCCCATTCAAAGCCAGCTTCAGCAACTTAGTGAGACTCCTTCTCTAAATAAAATACTTAACAAAGGACTGGAGATGTGACTCAGTGGTTAAATGTTCCTGGGTTCAATCACTGGTACTAAAAAAAGGGAGTGTTGCACTAGTATATTCTTATACTCATCTTCTCTTTCTGGAGAGCTCAAGGCATGCCTGCAAACTGTGCATCCAAGGCTGAAAGTGGCTTCTTCTCTCCTACTACTTGCTATAAAAAGATTCTGGGATCCAGCCTGCCCACTTTATAAGTAGGAATAAAGCAAAAATTGGACAACATTCAGGGAGGGCTGTTTCAGCCAACTTCAGGGACAGAAATGCCAAAGGTGGAAATGTTCTTTACAGGGTCAAAACAAGTGATCTTTAATTGCTTTGACAGAGCAAGAGAGCCTACCCTTTCCCAATCCTCTACAGCTGAAGAAATAAGTAGGTAGTCCCAAGGCAAGAACCTTGTTCTTAAATTATACCTTACCAATTGCTCTGATGGATGCTGAGGTAATGATGGGTCACAGATTTCACTAGACGGCCTCATACCGTGGGCTGGAGTACAGCTGTTGCCTCCTGAACTGGCAAGAGCCTGGCTCAGGTGTGATGAGGAGTGGTAACAGAATACAAGAGAAGGATCAGGCCTTAGCCCTCCAATGGGCCTTTCATCCCAAGAGAAGATGGTTTAGCCTGGGCATGCTCGGAAGTCACAACCCACAGGTTTACTTCCCCAGCTTTTCTAGGGTGCACACACAGTGCAAAACAAAGAAAGGGCTTGGAGTGGCCTGGAGCTAGAGTGGCTGGCAGAGGAGAGCTAGCAAGGCAGTTGTCTCTATAGCAGACAGCAGGCCCGAAACATCAGCAAGTCCTTAGGCACAGTAAGCTTCAGTGAGACACTCTCATTGGCCCCAATGAAGAGCACCCCACCACGCTGCAGGGAGATTGCAGCCTGTGCTGTGGGAGTGCTGGCTGTCACCGTTCCTTCCACCATCAGGAGGATGCTGGCAGAGTCCAGTGCCAAGACCTTGTATTCAGTGACAGAGCCAGGGACCTGGGCAAGAAGAAGCAGGATAATATAGCTTAGACTCTGCACCAATCAGGTCCCAGACTCAGGACAACTTCAAGGGCAGTGAGGAACAGCCCTGCTGCCACCTCCCCTAATATTCAAGCTCTTATCAGCATGGAGGTCCCAGGTATAGAGTGGATGGGCCCTGTAACTGTCACTAGTAGGTGTGCTTGACAGAAGGGAAACCCAGCCCCAGGTATACTCCATATTGTAGTCCTTGCCAGTTCACCATCCCCTCTCCCACTTACCTCCATTTTCATAATGGTGAAGTCTGGCACAGGGGGGTCATAGATGAAGAGGTATGGGTCTTCCTGACTCTGTGTTGGGAGGAAGAGCCTGTCCTTGCTGGGGGTAGGGGTATAGCTGAGCATCTCACATAGAGTTGGCACATCAATGAACTTGGGTGTCAAGCCAGCACGCACTGTGTTGTCCGAACATGCCATACACTCCACGCAGTCTGGGGGCAGACAATTGTCATGTGCTAAGCTGATGAATTATGCCTTGGAGAAGGCTCTCTGAGGCTGGGCCTCCTAACCTGAAGTCTGTGAACCCCTTATAGAGTTAGGTAAAAATGTGTAAATACAATACTGTTTTCTGGGAGAATGAAGTTAAGATACCAGACTCCAAAAATAGGTGACAGGTCAGGAGGAGTCATATTAACCCCTAGGGGAGCCCCAAACCTCCTGACTAGTCGTACTTCTGTGACAGACTCCTAGGCATGAGTGGATGCTGCCAACAGTCAAAAATCACCTGTGAGGGGCTGTAGCTATACCTCAGTGTTAAGAGTGCTTGCCTCGCACGTGTGAGGCACTGGGTTCCATCCTCAGCACCACATAAAAGTAAATAAATAAATATATTGTGTCCATCTACAACTAAAAATATATATTAATCACCTTCTGAGGGGATGCATATCTTTTTTCTTGGGGGCGGGGGGAGTGTGGGGGTAACCAGGGATTGAACTCAGGGGCACTTAACCACTGAGCCACATCCCCCACCCTTTTTTGTATTTTATTTAGAGACGGTCTCACTTAGGGCTTCGCTAAGTTGCTGGGGCTGGCTTTCTTTTTTTTTTAATATTTATTTTTTAGTTTTCGGCGGACACAACATCTTTGTTTGTATGTGGTGCTGAGGATCGAACCCGGGCCGCATGCATGCCAGGCGAGCGTGCTACCGCTTGAGCCACATCCCCAGCCCAAGGCTGGCTTTGAACTTCCTCCTGCCTAGGCCTCCTGAGCTGCTGAGATTACAGGCATACACCACTGCACCCAGCCCTGATACATATATTTTTTTTTAAATATTTTTTTAGGTGTAGATGGACACAACACAATGCCTTTATTTTTATGTGGTACTGAGGATCGAACCCGGGTGCTGCCTGTGCTAGGCGAGCACTCTACCGCTGAGCCACAATCCCAGCCCCCTGATGCATATATTAATGTAAAAAAAAAAATCCAGGTGGCTAGGTGCAGTGGCGCATGCCTGCAATCCCAGTAACTTGGGAGGCTCAGGCAGGAAAACTGCAGGTTCAAGGACAGCATGAGCAATTTAAGAAAACCCTGTCTCAAACAACAAAAAGGGAATGTAGCTCAGTGGTAAAGCACTGAGATCAATCCCCAGTACAGTAAAAAATGGTAGACAGAATAGGCATGTAAAAGCTGGATGATGTAAGGGAGAGAAGAGCAGCCTTGTCCAATATAGCCTGGGTTCCAACTTCAGTTCCCACACTCACTGACAGGACTTAACATCAGTCTTATTACCTTCCAGGTTGGCAGAAGATCATAAACAGTGTCTACTGCTAAGCTGACATTCACCATACCTACTGGCATTTTCCCTTTCTGCCCAGGAGCTCTCAGAGATTAGAGCTGGATGGACCTTAGAGAAAGTATCCATAGCCATCCTCTTTTTGTCCAGATGGGAAAACAAGGTCTACCAGGGATGGCAGTTCTGCTGAAAAGGGGCTCACCTCCCTTCACGTAGGCATGAGGCACATTGGCCTCCAGAAACATGGCCTCTCCTGGCTTCAGGGTAAGCAGGTTCAGGAAGTAGATGGCAAAACAGCCAATGTCACCTGGATACTGCTGGTGCAGCTGTAGCAGGAGCTCTCCACAGATGTCCTCCATGTTGTTTCCAGCAGACACTGGGGGTCACAGAGTAGACCAATGCTTCAGTCCCACTTAGTGTATTCTAGCCTTACTCAGGGCAAGAAGTCTTGGGGAAGAGTTCTTGCCCCATGAATGCAGAAGCTATGCTTGGGCCTGTCCTAGTCATCTCCTGCTTTTTGGGATCCAGCCTTCCTGATACTCCTGCCCACACAGATGCTCTCTCTCACACTTCAACTGTCTGCCTGGCTTACACTGACCTCTAAAAGGGCTAAAGTGTGTTCCATTCAGGATAAGATCTCTCAATCTCGACACTACTGGCATTTTGGATCCCTTGTTAAATATAGGGCTGTCCTGCTTATTGCTGGATGCATCCTTAGCCTCTACCTACAAGACACCACCATCACCCCCAATCCAGGTTCTAACAACCAGAAAAGTTTCCACACAATTGCCAAAGTTCCCCTGGTTGAGAACAGTGATCTTGGAGCTCATAATCTCGATTGGGAGATGGCTCAAAAGGGTTCCATGAAGGAGAACAAACTCTTAGGTTAGGACATTCTCTTTTTTAGTACTGAAAGCCCCATGTCTCAGAAAATCTCAGTCCCAGGAAAACTGGGATGGTTGTCTACCCAAGAGAACACAAGGTAAAATGTGCCACGGGCCAAAATGTGTCCTGGAGACTGACCAGGGAAAATGAGCTCAGTCTGGCTATAGCAGTGAGAGCAGGATTCTTGGAAGGGGCAGGCAAAGAAGTGAGGAGGGTATTTATAAATAAAGACAGAATGTGTTAAGTGCCACAGTGAAGAAATCAGCTGGTCTGGGTTGGAGGGCAGTTCAGTCTTCATAGCCTGTTGAAGTTCAGAAACAGGTCCCTGGTCTGGAGAGAGCCCAGTTTTAAAGTATGCATGTGATACATAGACTCACAGGTGCTAAGGCTATACCCAGATGTATGAACAGGGAGCTCTGAGAGTTTAGAACAGGAGCAATCTGTTGAGCTGTGAGAATAAGCAGAGAAAACACCCAAAACCACTCCCCGCAAAAAGAAAAACAAAAACTGTATGCTTCGATGAAACAAACAATGTGTGGTCCAAAGGAAGCACAGCAGGGGAAATGTGCAGAAACAGAGCCAGAAGAGAGCTCTGGGGCCACTAGAGACGGGATGGGGGCTACCACATCAGCTTATAGCTGAGAGGTTGTCTGCTTTATATTTCTCGCTGCTTATATTGACTCTTCAGCCCAAAAGGTGATGACCATACCCATCAGCCATTTCCTGAACTCTCCTTAGCACAAATCAGGCACATAGGAGGTAGTTAAGAAAAAGCTAATGATTGCAAGCGCTAAACATCAGTCCTTTAGAGAGAGAGATGATCCTCTTGTCCCCTTCCTGTTTTCCAGCTCCAAACACAAGTCTATCCATGGGAAGCAGTTTCAGGATTGGGGAGAATCTGAATGCCTGGGTAGAAGGCATCAGAAAAGTCTTCAAGTCTGCCTACAATTGTCTAAAAACAACCAGTCAGAAAGCAGCACTCCACCTATGGCCTTGTTCCACAAAGACTGGGAAAGAAATGGTAGTGGCCAACAGGTCTTCTAAGTTGAGTTCTTCAGTATTCCTCTTGGGCAAAGGGGTAGAGAACCCTGTCCCCACAGCCTTGTGTCTATGTCAAGGAGCCCAGGCAAGGGCATTGCACCCATCCAGGTCTATAACTATGCCCACCTTGCTGGGAGACCCGCTTCACCAACAGGTTGAGCTGCTCTACCACCACCTTCTTCTCACTCTTCATCAGCTGAGAGAAGCAATTCCGCAAAGCAGAGGCCACGGCCTGAGCGTCGATGCTCGTGCTCTGCCTCAGCTGTGTTGATGCAGCATCCCCAATCAGGAACTGGAACTCGGGCACCTCTGAAGGAATGCCAGGACCAGGACCCGTGTCAGGATGGTAAGATGGAACCCACAGGGCTGGGGCTGTGACTCAGTGGTAGAGCACTTCCCTAGCATGTGTGAAGCATTGGGTTCCATTCTCAGCACCACATATAAATAAATGAATAAAATAAAGGTTCATCAACATCTTAAAAAATATATTTTTTAAATTTATTTTTTAGTTGCAGATGGTCATAATATCTTGATTTATTTTTATGTGGTGCTGAGGATTGAACCCAGTGCATCACGCGTGCGAAGCAAGCACTCTACCACTGAGCTATAGCCCCTGCCCCCTAAAACCATATTAAAAAAAAAAAAAAGATGGAACACACAGGAGGACTGATAGGAGGCCTCCCTGTCCCATCCCTAACTAAGGAGCCAGGCACTAAGCAAAACCTGAAGTGCAAACCAATTACTTACCAACAGCCCTCCGCAACCACACTTGGGCCTGGTCTTATTAGTCTGACCCACTGGTTCCAAAAAGTACTGCATGAGGCCAAGCAGCCCTTTAGTTCTTATGACATTGAGCCTCTGTTCTCTGTCACTGTTCCCCCTCTGGTCTGGGTTTCCCACACATCCCAGGCCCAATACTCAGGCCCTCGGCATTCTGTCCAACTTACTCTTCAGAAAGGTTAGAATCTCCTCAACTGGCCGGAAGCCACACAAGCCCTGGAAGGAGGTAAGAGCAATGGCCATCTCTGGCTTGTGGTTGGCATCAGGGTAGTGCTGTGGAGCCTGGAGGTGCAGCTTCTCTGCCAGTTCCTGGGGGTGGCCAAGGGAGGAGAATGGTCAGGGAGCAGCCATCACCTAGCAGGAACATTAGTCTCACCAGCCCCTGCTCTCTACCCTTCCCAGTTGCCAGATGGCAGTGGCTTCTTACCTCTGGCAATGAACCTGGTCAAGGCATGATGCAGAAACTTGGGGTTCAGCCAATCCAAGGCAGGGCAACAGACTAAATCTGGGGGAGAGCTGGGGCAGACTTTAAGAGCCCTCACCAGTAAATTAGGAAACCCAAACAAGCTCTGACCCTAATAGGCTGTGATTTGGGGTAAATCCCTCCCTTCTCTGAGTCTTACTTTGCCTATCTAAAACTGACAAATTTGGAGACAGTTGCTTAGGCTGGGACTCAGAAGTTTGTACAGAAAACTCCATGATGGGGAAATGAGGCAACAGCTATGGTGTGTGCCCTACCCCGGAAGTTGAACTCTCTAGAAAGCCAGTTGGGAAGATGATGATAAGACCTGGGCATGAGCTTAGAGAAACTCCTCCGGCACAGGCTGGTCAGCTATCCACTTAATATTTAGCTACTGGGTGTATCATCAGCATCTGGCCTCGAAGAGCTAATCTGGGAGTGGACACACTGGATTTAGCTCTGGGCTGAAGCCTGGTGTGGGTGAGGTAACAGTAGCAGAAAAAGCCCTTCCCTACCCTGACTGCTACACCTACTCTGTTCTGGTACCTTGTTAGGGTGTGCTTGGATAGAGAGGGCTGTTTCCACAGAAAGCACTTTGAAGAGGAAGGGCAGCTTGCCATCAAAAGTGTCCTTGACCTTTGAGCCTAGGCAGTCCTGGTTCTCAGCAATCCACTGGCCCAAGGTCTTTTCCGAGATGTCATTGTCAAGGATCTTGGCATCCCCCCGGGGGTGTGTTCCCATCCACAGCTGAAAAGACAGGAAACTTGAAAGAAGAGGAAGCAGAACCTGGCACCACCCGCTGGCCTGCCACAAGTTATGCTGTGCTCCCCAAAGAGTGGCTTCCTTCTGGGACAGGTTCCAAGGTCAGGTACAAATACTCATACCATCACAGACACAAAGGGAGAGAGCAGACCCCAGAACAACCAGGAATCAGGAGACTTGGGCCTTAGTCTAGTCTGTCTCTAACCATCTATGGGGACTTCTGTTATAAATTTCTATTTCCTTCCTCTATTGTCAGAGTTCTTATCTGTCCAGAGGAGAATGACAATTGCACTGTCAAGGACACTGAAAAACCATGATTCTCAAATGGCTCTGTGAGGGGTTAATATTCATTTATTTTATTTTATTTTTTTTTAAATTTATTTATTTATTGATTTATTTAGTTTTCGGCGGACACAACATCTTTGTTTGCATGTGGTGCTGAGGATCGAACCTGGGCCGCACGCATGCCAGGCGAGCGCCCTACCGCTTGAGCCACATCCCCAGCCCCTAATATTCATTTATTCCAGTCTCACTCAGAAGCAGGGACTAAAGCCTTCCTCAGTTTTGTCTTTTTCTCTATTAAATAGGCAGAGGATAACAGATTAATAAAAATGCCAAAAAAAAGGCCAAAGTTAAAAAAAAAAAATTATTAGCCAGGCATGGTGGTATACACTCATAATCCCAGCAACTTGGGAGGCTGAGGTAGGAGCATCACAAGTTTGAGGCCAGCCTCAGCAACTGAGTGAGACCCTGTCTCAAAACAATAAAAGGGCTGGGGGTGTAGCTCAGTGGTAAAGTTTTGGTACTTGGCTTCAATCCCCAATACCAGAAAATAAATAAATAACTTGTTGTTTATGAGGGCTAAATAAAAATTCAGCAAGCGCTGCTAATTGTGGTAGTGCAAACCTATAGTAATCTTTGTGACTCCAGAGCTGAGGCAGGAGGATCACAAGTTCAAGACCAGCCTAGGCAACTTAGTGAGACCCTGTCTCAAAATAAAAATAAAAAAGGCTGAGGATGGGGCTGGGGTTGTGGCTCAGTTGTAAAGTACTTGCCTAGCAAGTGTGAGGCACTGGGTTCAATCCTCAGCCCCACATAAAAATAAATAAATAAAATAAAGATATTGTGTCCATCTACAACTAAAAAAATATTTTTAAAAGGCGGGGGGCTGAGGATATAGCTCCACGGTAAAGCACCCCTGGATTCAATTCCCAGTACCAAAAGAGAAAAAGTTTTCAGTAAATACTAAATTGTTGGAGAAAGGAGCGTACAAGAATTCCTAGACTTTCTGTTATGGTTGGATGTGAGGTGTCACCCGAAAGCTCATGGTATGAGACAATGCAAGAAGGTTCAGAGGAGAAGTAACTAGGTTTTAAGAGTTTTAACCCAATCAGTGAAATAATCCTGATAGGGATTAACTGAGTGGTAACTGCAGGGGTAGGGTGTGGCTAGAGGATGTGGGAATTGGGACAAGGCTTTGGGGTATATATTTGTATCTGGCAAGGAGAGATCGACCCTCCTCTCTCTCTGTTGTCTGATCACCAATGTGAGCTGCTTCCCTCCACCACATTCTTCTGCCATGAAGTCCTGCCTCATCTTGAGTCCCAAGGAATGGAGTCTGCTGTCTATGGATTGCAACCTCTGAAACTGTGAGTCCCCAAATAAACCTTTCCTCCTCTGCAGTTGTTCTGGTTGGGTCATTTAGTCACAGCAGCGAAAAAGCTGACTAAAACACTTTTATAATAACATTTCTTTTGGTGCCAACATCTGGTCCACTGACCTACACTGATCTGAAAAACCAAGAGGGCCTCCTCATTCTTGCTACCTCACTCCTCCTGGCAGATCCACATGACTTGCTTCAGGCCCTTTAGTGTCACTTGACGGTAAGGTACAGCCTGTGTCTCACCTCTGCATATGGTTTGTCTTCTGCGATTTGGGCCAGTGGGTCATTGCTGGCCAGCAGTCGTGCCACTTCACTGCTGGAGCCCATCTTCCCCCAGGCATAATGCTGCACCACACAGGAAAGTGGGAACACTGGAGGCACAGACAAGAGGGTCAGTGTCCACTCCACTCCTCAGACCTGGCTCTACTGTCCCGGAAACCAGGCATGAGCCAGGAGACAATAACAAGGGATGGAGTCAAATAAGGGCCTCCTGGTTGTTGGGACAGACTACACTCTTCTGAAAGCCTCGATGTTCCCTTCTGTAAGATGGACAGATAAGGATATTGTCTGCTGTGGGGCTGAGACGTACGTCCAGGTGACCTTAAGGGAGCAGGAAGTACCTAGCTCACAGCATCTGGTCTCAAGTGCCCCAAGCTCCGCTGGAGAGTGGGAGGGCCTCCTCTCCTCGAGGATTGCAAACCCCATCCAGATGCTACCTCCCCTGCCTAGCGCCCACCCATCGCCCACCCATCTTTTCCCGGAGCCCGAGAGGTGGGTTCGACCTGGCGGGTCATGCCGGGATTAGTCCCCAGGACACCACTAACACCACGCTCACTGACACCAAGCCTAACGCTCACCTCGCTGACCTGCCATCTCGGCCGCCCGGGACCGGTTCTCCCGCACGTTAGCCCTTCCCGGCAGCCCTCACGGCCGGCGCACAGAGCTCCATGGGAAGTGTAGTTCCCGGAGCTGCTCCCGGCACCGGCCGCGCAGGGGCCCTTTACCACCTCGGGGCTTCAGGGCTCGCTAGCCCCCAGGCTTCCGCGGGCAGTCCAGGGTCTCGGCATTCTTTCCTTGGCCTGCAAGTATTTATTGAGAATTTGCCAAGTACCACAGAATGTTTTGAGGACTGTCAGAGAACTAGACGACACTACTCTTTGTAGAGCTTCCATTCTGAGAAGGGAGGACCCACAAGCGAGTATAATACGTAAATCATATAGTACGTTGAGAGACTGTACAGGTCACAGAAAGAGGGCGGATGGGAGCAGAAAGTACTGTATGGAATTTAGAAGTCCGGGTGGGGCGGGGCACACCTGTAATCCCAGCAGCTCGCGAGGCTGAGGCAGGAGGATTGCAAATTCAAAACCAGCCTCAGCAACTTAGTGAGGCCTTGAGACCCTGTCTCAAAATGAAAAATAAGCTGGGCTGGAGATGTTGCTCAGTGGTAAAGCACTTCTGGGTTCACTCCCTGAGAATCTAAATAAATTAAGAAATAGGCAGGTAAGCCTCATCGGGAAGGTGAGATTTGAGCTCAGACTTGGAGGTGAGAAGGCAAAAGGGTTGGAGGCAGAGAAAATGCTAGAACAAAAGCACCTAGAGTGGGAACCTGGGAATGTGCCTGTCCTGATCAGGAGTAAAGAGCAAAGAAGGGGTGCAGAGTGAGCTGAACAGGGGAAGTGAGGAGGTTGGGAAGGCCATGGGCAGAGCTTCACAGGCTGTGGTGAGGACTTCAGATTTTACATAGTTTCTCAGGGATGAGAGGGTAATTGCTGTGAAATAAGTAGGGATTAACTAATAATGGTGAGGGCAAATGCTACATGCACACCCTTCACCTCTCTGAGCTTTGGATAAATAACACTGGTGTGTTGGAAGGTCTGATGAGGTGATGTAGTCAGGGCTTTGTGCTCCCCTGGCCTTCCCTGTTCTCAGTGCCCCTTTTCCAGACTGCTACTCACAAGTTGCTCACACAGAAGTCGGGAGTCACCAAGAGATCTGTATGGGGGAGGCTGGGGCTGAGCCTTGGTTGAAGTATGATTTTGCTATATCCTGTGGAGAAAGACTCTGCCATCCTAACTTCCTTAGTCAGCAGCCTAGAAGGAGGACAGTCAAGCGCACAGCAGTCAAAGCTCTAGGAAACTAGAGGGAGAGGTTAGAGTCCTGACTCTACCCACCTCCTCCAAAACACTGATTTCTACTGTGTCCAAGAGAAAGAGGGAATGCAATTTTCTCTGTGATGTTCAACTCATGAGTGGACATCACCCTCCCCTGGAGGCCTCTGACTCAGATAATCCAGTCTGCATTTCAAAGAAACGCTTTCTCATATGCTAAGGAATAACACCATGGAAAGCACAAGAATCATGGTTTTGTTTTTGTTTTGTGGTCCTGGGTTTGATACCCAGGACCTTATACACAGTAGGTAAGCATTTACCACTAAGCTACAACCCCAGCCCAAGCACAAGAATCATGGAAATAGCTCACACAGCTCAATACCTCCTACTTTGGAATACTCCTCCTTCACTTTATCTCCATCCTCTCAGCAATACCAACTTTCTGGGATAAGAGTGAGGGATTTGTTTAAGCAGAGGGATTCTTTGTTTGTTTGTTTTGTCTTGCTACCAGGGATTGAACCCAGGGTGGCTTAGGCACATCCCCAGCACCACCACCCCCGCCCCACCACGCATTTAAAAAGAGTTTTCTTTTAATATAGACACAATATCTTTACTTTATTTATTTAATTATTTTTTTTTATGTGGTACTAAGGATAGAACCTCACATGTGCAAGGCAAGCACTCTGCCACTGAGCTATAACCCCAGCCCTTTTGAAATATATATATTTTTTTATTTAGAGACAGGATCTGGCTAAGTTGCTTAGGGCCTTGCTAAATTGATGAGGCTGGTTTTGAATTCATGATCCACCTGCCTCAGCTTTCTGAGCTGCTGGGATACAGGCATACGCCACGATGCCTGGCAGCACAGGGATTCTCGAAACATTCCCATTACCACCACCGAAGAAACCAGTTAAGAGCTGAGCTGGGCAGATGCCATGTACCTATAATCTAGTGATTTGGGAGGAGGCAGGAGTTTCAGGGCAGCCTGGAAAATTTAGCAAGACCCTGTCTCAAAATAAAAAGGGCTGGGTTGTGGCTCAATGATAGAATTCCCCTGGGTCCAATCCCCAGTACCACCAATAAAGAAAAAGAAAAAGAAAGAAAGAAACCAGAGGAGCCCTTTTCAGAAATGCAAAACCTCTTGGGGCTGGGGTTGTGGCTCAGTAGTAGAGTGCTTAGCCAGCATGTGTGAAGCACTGGGTTTTATTCTCAGCATCACATAAAAAATAAATAAATAAAGACATTATGTCCGTCTATGACTAAAAACATTTTTAAAAAAGAAAGAAACCAGAGTTATAGTTACTTCCTCAGAGTATCCTTGCACAGGAAAGGAAGAACTTAGATTATTGGTCAGACAAAACCTCTACCTTATATCCTTCAATAAACACAGAAAGATTTGTCTGTAAGGGGAAACTAGGGTGTCTGGAGAACTTAATACCTTCCACTGTTTGCTCTTGCAGGTCTAGCTCTTCTAGAACTGACCACATTCCATTATCTAGTGATGATCTGCTTTCCTCTTTGCTCCTGAATAAGCCTCTGATAGGGACTGGTTGACAGGGGAACCAACCAAGTGATTAGATAATTAGAAATTTCATCCCTAATCTCACAGCCTCCAGGAAGGGAATATGGGCTGAAGAGTGAGTTGATCACCAATGGTCAATGATGTAATAATCAATAATGCCTGGTAATGAAGCCTGCATAAAAACAAAAAGAAAAACACCCTGTCAGATTTGGGGAGCTTCCAGATAGCTTGAACACATATAGGTTCCTAGAGGAAGGCACTCTGCAGAGGGCATAAAAGCTCTGTGGACCTTCCCATATGTCATGCATTATTCATATCTTCCATCTAGCTGTTAGTCTGTTTCTTTTGTAATATTCTTTTTTAAATATTTTTAAAATATTTATTTCTTTTAGTTGTACACAATGCCTTTATTTTTATTTATTTATTTTTATGTGGTGCTCAGAATTGAACTCAGGGCCTTGCACGCACCAGGTGAGAGCTCTACCGCTGAGCCACAACACCAGCCCCCCAAAAAATATTTCTTTCTTTTTTAGTTGTAGGTGGACACAACATCTTTATTTTATTTTTAAAATAAAGGTGCTGAAGATTGAACCCAGTGCCTCACACATGCTAGGAAAGCACTCTACCTCTGAGCCACAACTCCAGCCCTCTTTTGTAATATTCTTTTTTTTTTTTTTTGAGAATTTTAATATTTATTTATTAGTTTTCGGTGGACACAACATCTTTGTTTGTATGTGGTGCTGAGGATCGAACCCGGGCCGCACGCATGCCAGGCGAGCGTGCTACCGCTTGAGCTACATCCCCAGCCCCGTAATATTCTTTATAATAAACTGATAAAGTGCTGGGCAGTGGTACCCACCTGTACTGCCAGCCTCAGCAACTTAGCAAGCCCTAAGCAACTCAGCAAGACTGTCTCTAAATAAAACAATAAAAAGGGCTGGGGATGTGGCTCAGTGGTTAAGCATCCCTGGGTTTAATCCCTGGTATCAAAAAACAACACAAAGAACTGATAAATGTTTCACTGAGTTCTGGGAACCACTCTAGAAAATCTGTTGAACTTAAGGAGGAGGTCCTGGGAACCCTGATTTATAGCCAGACAGAAGCACAGGTAAAACAACCTGGGATATGTGAAGTGTGAGGGGCAGTTTTGTGAACTCACCTGTGGGACTGACTTGGGAACTATCTATCTCCAGGAGGATAGTGTTGGAATTGAGTTGAATTATAGAACACTCAGTTGGTGTCCACTGGAGAATTGCTTCGTGTTTAGAGAAACAACTGCTGCATCTGATGTCAGAAGTGCTGTGTTGAATGCTGGGACATAGCTCAGTGGGGATATAGCTCAGTGGTGGGGAACCTAGCATGCACAAGGCCCTGGATTAAAAAAAAAAAAAAAGTATTGAGTGACTTGCTGCAAGAGTAGAGGGAGGAAAAAAAAAAGAGTTTTTCTGTCAGTTCTCAAGACAATCCTATGAGATACATACTGTCCCTAGCACCATTTAATGGTTTGTGTGTGGGTGGTGCTGGGGACCGAATCAAGGCTCAGGGCCCTGTGCATGCTTGGCAAGCACTCTACCATTGAGTTATATTCCCAGCCCACCAGCCCCATTTTAGAGCTGAGAAAAATTGGTCTCAATAAGGTGAAGTAACTCATCCAAGGCACAGAGTTCCATGTTGCTATCTCCTTCCTTACTGAATAAATGAGACAGTGGTACATGTCTGTAATCCAGCTACCTGGGAGGCTGAGGCAGGAGCATCACAAGTTTGAGGCCAACCTAGGCAACTGAGCAAGATCCCGTCTCAAAAATAAAAGGGGGCAGGGCTGGGGTTGTGGCTCAGTGATAAAGCACTTGCTTCTCACAGTTGAGGCACTGGGTTCGATCCTCAGAACCACATAAAAATAAATAAAATAAAGGTATGTGTCCATCTACAATTAAAAAAATTAAAAAGTAAAAAATAAAAGGGGCAGAGGGTGTGGCTCAATGATAGAGTACTTGCCCAGCGTGTGCAAACTCCTAGACACAATCCCCAGTACAAAAAAAAAAAAAAAAGTAAAAAAATGAATAGTCTCTGGTTTCTCACAGGAAAGTGGACAGAGCCTAGGACAGATGGGTGGGAAGCCTCCACATTGGTTATAATCAATTTCATTCCTTCCTTACCAGCTCAGCACTGTACTAGGTTGCAGCAGTCCAGGAGGAGGTTAGGAAAGCCTTAGGCTATATAGATTGTTCTTGTCTTAGGCCACAGATAGCAAATTTCTCTGCCTTTGGAGGGGTGGCCATAGAGACTGAAAGGTAGGCACTTTCAAAGGGGACACACATCCCATCCTCCCACTTGAGGATATTTCCCAGAGAAAAGTTCAATTGAA